TGGACCCTTAGGGTAAGGCTTCAGGATTTCAGGCTCCACCCTAAGCCCTGAACCTCTATAGGTGTAAGGCTTCAGGATTTAGGGCTAGACCCTAAGCCCTAAACCTCTAGGTTCCGGGTTGACGGCTTTGGGCTAAGGCTTAGGTCTTCTGGTTGTGGTGTTTCGGGTGGCCATGCATGATATGACAGAAACCAGTAACACTGACATCTTGAAGAAATCACCGGGGAACAAACCAAGGCTGAAGAGGATGAAAGCAAGCCCGAAGCCTCCCTAAACCCTAAACCCTAAACCCTAAACCCTAAACCCTAAACCCTAAACCCTAAACTCCAGACAATCGTGGCAGAAGACATCCATGTCGCCCGGGTCTGTGCGCTCCAAGACGGTATCGGAGCTGACGGGGGCCCAGAAAGAAGGCCACCCCGTACCACCTTGGAGGGTGTTCTTAAACTTAGAAACATACATGTGTTCTACAAAAAATCGATCTACGGTTCTTTAAGGGGTTCGCAATTTAGGGTTTGATTTGTTGGGGCTCTATTAGGGTTTCTAGAAGACTTGTGTTGTAAGGGCGTGAGAGGCAACAGACCTGACTGCAGAGTCTAACGGAGGGCCTTCTGACATGTATGTATATATGGCATAATAGGCATAGGCATATATAGACAGAAAGAAGCGACAGATGGCGATAAAGAGAGGGACAGAGACTTATCTATCTATCTATCGATCTATCTTTCGATCTATCTATCTATTTATCTATATTTGCTTGTATCTATGTGTGTGTATATGTATATCTGTATATGTGCATAATTTCATCGATGTAGAATTACGAATCTCCGGCGAGGAACTGTTGTACTTCGCCTTTGAGGAGAAGAGCGGCTGGCCACTAATCGGTGACACGTAGGTCCCCTCCTCCTTGTTGTCCCAGGCCTTGGGTTTCGGGTTTCGGGTTTAGGGGTTTGGGGTTTAGGGTTTAGGGTTTAGGGGAATCGTTGGCTTTAATAATGTGAGCACATCGCTAGTAAGGTGGTCGGAAGGACGGTTGCAAGCTGGACAAGTGGAAAGGTGGTCATGAGCAGGACAAGTAGCAAGTCGGTCGCTGCTTTTGACCCAACACAGGATGCGCCCTCGATTACAGCAATTGTTGCAAACCCAACGTCCGAAACCCTAATCCCTAAACCCTCACTTTTCGCAAACACAGCTGCATGTAGTGTGTCGGCTCGGGGTTTAGACTTTGGTTAGGGACAACGGATACACATCTAATGTGAGTATATAGTGTGAAGTTGAAGTACCTTCCCGCAAACCCAGTCTTTGTGGGCGTGGTGCGTAGCCATTGGTGGTCTTACCAGTGAACGCCGGCTCGGTCGCAGCCTGTTCGTTTAGGGGTTGTGTGGCTTAGATTTAAGGGTTTGGAGTTCAGGATTGAAGACTTATTCCAACCCTAAACCCTAAACCCTAAACCCCTAGCCTGCAGAGACTTGGGCGACGTTTGCGGAGGGTATCTAGCAGTTGGTGCATCGTCTTAGGGTTTTCCTCAAGGTTTGAGGCCTAAGTTCACTCATGGCACTTCAGTTTGCGGCTTCGGTGTGTTCAGGATTTGTTCAGTGGAACCGGCAAACATAACACTAGACCCAGGAGTAACCTAGGAATGAAAAGGGTGCCCTTTTTGGTTTTAAGGGGATTATAAGGGAGCCCCAACCCTAAAAAAGGAAATAAGGGCCTACTCCGGGTCCTATAACATGAATGAGCTGCATCAACTCGGGAGCCAAGCTAAGCCTAAACCCTAACCTCTAAATAGTGCTTGGAACCCACCTTGATTGTAAGAAACGGCTTCGGGCATCGTATCTATACTCTAAATATATGGGGATTTTGAGGGGACAGCTAATTATCCAAACCCCTGTATTACAAGGGACGCCTCAACGCCCAGTGGGTCAGCTACCTATACAATGGGTTAGAGAGAGATAGACAGATATACACATGTGTGTAAATACGTGTATATATATATATATATACACGATGTATACCTGTGAGTACAGAGCCAGACGACATTAAGTTGGACTTCGCTTGTAACGGGGTTTCAGAGACTACCTCAACTCAGAATGCAAGACTTAACCCTAAACCCTAAACCCTAAACCCTAACCCCTAAATCCTAAACCCTAAACCCTAAACCCCTTAACTTCCCAAGCCCGAAACCCCACACTTGGACGGCCGGGGGACTTGGCCTACTTACGAAGCCCCCCGACCCTACAAGCACGCTCACGTGAGTACACGCATAACCCTGAATCCGTACGTAAAGGAGCATATGACAGAAGCCCGAATAATAACGGGTATTATTGCTTACGGGTCCGTGCTATAAGCCAACTACATATACCGCAAAACGATATTCCAATTGTTAAGGCCGCCCTGCATTATGATATATTAGTATGATAATACCCCACAGCAGCACAGGGCCAGTCGAACCTCCAGCAGGACTCTCTGCTCGAATTTGCCTCAACATCTTCCAGAGATTCTGCAGTTTGAGGGCTAGGAATTTAGGAAGTTTAGCGTTTCGATCGTTCAGAAAGTAGATTCGGGTTCAGGGTGTGCCGCTTCTTACCCTGAATTGGAGTGTCCAAATATACCCTAAACACTAGAGCCGCATCGTACACCCCAGCTAGCAGGATGCGGCCTACTAAGCATGTGACTACCTGGGATCTGTCTGAACCCGGCTGCCTGCTAAGGAACTTAATTTAACACTCAAGATAAAGTAGTGAGGAACACATACTAGGTAGTATGGTTTCCGTCCCCCCAAGGGTCCATGTACCCAAATAACTTATACTTTGGCCCTAAAGTAGGCCGTCTATAAGTACTTTGGGGCCAATGTATATACTACCATGGACCCTTAGGGTTCGTGACCGGGCATCTTGATCCCGTATGACACCCGAAGAAAGCTTGCACATCCCGGAACGCTGTAGAACAGCGCTCATGAAAATGAAAAACCATGCCTGACAACCCTGGCAAATGAACGACTATAGGGGTCTTAATAATTACCCATACTATTTTTGGGGCTCCTTATTAAAATTATAGTATAATGGGCACCAAAACCCTATTGAAATTATTATGGCCCCCATAGTATAACTTCGTTCTCAACAGGAAACCCTGACAAGCTCCTTCCTGAAGAGTCCTGATGCCTGGGTAGCTCTCTAAATGGGTGTAGGGTTTAGGGTGTAGGGTTTAGGGTTTAGGGTTACTTGGAGGGTCGGGGGACTTAGTAAGTAGTTATTTTATAGACTTATAAGTATCATACCCCCAATTAGGATCCCTTTTGGGGTACTTATAAGTCTACTTATTATCTGCTTACTAAGTCCCCCGACCCTCCAAGTAGGGTCCCTTTTCAAGTCCTCCAATTTAGTACGGCACCCTTATAAACAAGGACCTCCAAACAAGGGACCCCAACTTCGAGAACTACCCACCTTGGGATCCTGAAAACTACTACCTCTGAGGCTCCTAAACCCTAAACCCCAAACCCTAAACTTCAAATCCCAAATCCTAAACCCTAAACCCCAACCCCCAAACCCTAAACCTTAAATCCCAAGTCCTACACCCTAAACCCCAAAGAAACCAAAAGGCGCTCTTTAGGAGGTCCCGGGATCCTCGAAAGGAGATACCAGGGACCTAAGTAGATACCAAGTAGGTTGATAAGTGCCTTCAAAAGGGAGCCTAGTTGCGGTGATGGTACTTGCAATACTAAGTCCACAGACCCTCCAAGCCCTAAGCCCGAAACCCT